CTCCTTCCAGAACTCCGGGGTCGCAGTCGGAGGGCCGGGTTGCGCCGAGGCCGAGGCGGAGAAATGGGAATCTCTCCGCGTCGTGCCCGGGGCCGCTACCTTCTCGGGGGAAGCAGCTGTGTCTTCGAGGAAGCCGGAAGCCCGTGGTGACCCCTGGCGACCCGGTTTGTTTTCGGTCCGTTTACAAACAATTGGGGAATCGAAACTCAGCGGCCCTAGGGCGGCCTTACGTTTCCTGGGTTCGGGGTGAGTGAATGAATCGGGCCGGGTGCAGGCTGGAGGTGCGGCCATGCCGGGACCAGCCTCCTTGCTGTTACTGGTCTAAGCGATCCGTCATTTCCCCGTGTCTTGTCCCGCGCCCCCCCATTTGACCTGGGGAAGGCCCACCCCAGGCGCTACTTGCTTCCAGGCTCCGCACCCTAGCTAGCTGTTGGGACCTCTGCTTGTCCTTCACTTGTCACCTATTATAGTACATTTTGTTTCTGTACTCTGATGTGCTAGGGCGCCTTCAGTTTCGATTCATTCGATTGCCGAAACGGTAAATACGTGAAAGGAAGGAGGGACGTTTGACAGGAGCTGGTGCTCCTTGAACCTCAGCCCTTACACAAGGTCTAGCCTAGCTGGTCATCGTTTGTTTCTCCGGTGTGTAGCCCACGTATTACAGTCCCGTTTTCGGTTTTTCTTTGCAAGTTAGTCTTAACCCCTTCGTTCCCTATGCACAAGGAGCTCGAATAATCCTCGAAAATGAGAGAAAATACCCACAAAACGAATATAAATCAAGACCTAAATTGCTTCACACGTATTATGTTAGAAATACCCTAAGATGAACAAAGACACTTAAAAAGAGTAGAGTTGAAATTGACCCTTGATCCTTCAATTTAGGCACTCTCTTGGAATTTGAAGTTGGATTAAGCAAGATCTATAAATTACAGTTCTCTAAGAACGCTGTATTTGCTCAGTCTGTTATGATTTAGATTTCATTTATAGTCCTGCAAAAATATATAAGGTATCACAATACTACTATCTATCCTATTACTTTGTATACTGGCTGTTACTCTGTAAACATACAGATGACTCCATCATCTGTAAACTGGGAATAGTGAGTGGATACTTCAACTGTGGTTACAAAATTTGAATGCAGTATTGTTTGTAAATGGTAAATTGTATGCAAATGTAAGTTTTTATTACAGAAACTGCATAGTGTAATGGGAAATGTTACTGGGAATAGGTCAGACCACCAGGCTCTAAGTGCTGGTTTTCTGTGCATTTATTTGACAATGGCTAATACCCTAAACCTTATCCTTATTTACCCTATCGCTAAGATTAGAGCAATGCTTACTGTAAGACACCTAAGCATACTTTCTGAAGATATGCTGGCCCTTAAATCAGCTACTCATGCACTGTACAATAGTTAAAACAGCTGTAAAATATGAAGGTTCTTGCCCACCTCAAAAGTTTTGCATAGATACAGTAAATTCTTATGAAGAACAAAAGAGATAGTTCCCCTAAAAGGTGAAGTACATCCACTGGCATATTATAAAAGACTAGATTAATATTAATTACAATACAAAATATTGTCATGATTAAGTAAAATAATATGATGGGTTTTTATTCCATAAGGAACATATAACTTTTTGCATTAAATCATTTATGTTCTGAACCAAAATATAGTTATTCTGTCCTTGTTAGAACATAATTAATAAAATAAGTAACAGTTAATAAGGGGTGCTCAGTTGCATTGACATATGTTACTTTAAGAAAGGAGTGAAAAAGTAGACTCCTCTTTTCATATTGTGCTATCCCGGAAAGGGTCTTATGATTCTCTGGCCACACAAACTAATAGCTAGTCTAAGGTACTTAGTGAGTTAGGATCTTAAGAATGAAAATGGAGCTTTTCATATTGTATATCTGGTGCTGAATACATGAAAGAAGCCTATATAAATAATAAAATAATAAAACCAAAGGCTACACATAGCCTACTTTGTTACTTTTTAGTAGTTTTCTTTTTAGTACAATAATAAATATAACTGAACATCTGCCTTGTAGCTTTTAGCCAGTATACAGAGTAATAGGATAGATAGTAATATTGTGATACATTATATATTTTTGCAGGAATAGAAATTAAAAATCTCAACTTTATTTTACAACCAATTTAAATGTCAATTAGTTTAAAGCTTCATGAAACTTGACCATTGTCTGTGGTGCTAGTACATTGTCATTGTTACATGACTCAATTTTTATGACATAAGCAATTTTCATGTTTTCTGAATCGTAAATAGAATAAAAATATATAATATCAAACTTGAAGTGTTTTAATGTAAATGTTTTCTTAGCACATCCATATTTAATTTTTTGATGATTTATAAAAAGCTAACAAACCATAAAATGAATTAGTCTATCTACTCACTTTGTCCTAAAAATGATGTTATATTGTATCAAATGTGTCGTTGTGGGAGTAAACACACCTTCTCCCATCAAAAATACTTTGTAAATATAAACTTTTATAAAAGAATCTTTAGGAAGGAAAAATAATAATAGCTTAGACTTTGAAATCTAAGTGCCTTTTTTGTGTACTAATTATCTGATGTTGGATAAGCTTCATGACCTTTTTTGGGTCCCACTCTTCTCATCTGTTAAAAGGGCTTAATACAGGTTTACCACAAAAATTCACTTAATTGGGTAGTCAGGAAAATAAAATGAGATAATATAAACAGCATAGTACTAAGTAGTTCATTTAGTTGTATTAATCAGCATTGTGTTACTATAATGAAATACTTGAGATAGGAAACTTATGAAGAAAAGGTTACTTAGGTCACAGTTTCTGAAGTTTGAATCCAAGATCAAGTGGCCTAATAGATTTTGGCCCTTTAACAAATTACTCAAATCACAAGTCAGGAAACAGAAAGAAACAGTACTGGACCAAGTTCCAAGGGTTCCCTTTGAGGGCACATCCTCAAAGACCTGTGGATCTCTTAAGGTTCCATCACTTAATGGCGACAGCACTTAACCAGTACTCCCACCCTGAAGATTGGCTCTTTGGATGACATTTATACAGACCATAGCAGTTGTCAGTATCTTAATAAGTGTATGTAAATATTTACATATTCTAGTCATGTCTTTTTTTAAAATTCAGATTAAAAAAATCTATAGCTTGCATCATAAAGGACTATCTCATTTTTTTACTATGTTTTTCTAATCTTATGTCCTACTTTTCAGCCTTCCTCCCCACACTCTGAGGTCATTGAACTTGTTCCCCATGCTAGAAGTTAGCAAACTGTAAAGGTTTAAGTACAATAAAGACAAGGGAAATACACTGTTTATTTAAGAGTTGAAGTGTAAGAATATTTCAGTCTTTTGTGATACCATTAAAAACCATCCCTCCTTCCTTCTCCCTGCCCCCAAAGCATGTTGTAGTCTTTCAAGTATATTACCTGCAGTTACATAGTATTTTTTTTTTTTAATGCAACAGTCTCCCACACTGGGTTTTCTTGCTCAGTAAATTAATTATTATTTTATTATAAAAATTAATACAGAAATCACAAGTAAGCTACTTAAAACTTACTGAAAAGTAAAAAGGCAAAAGCTCAGATTCTTAGAGTATACAAACAATGGAACATCCATTTTGGTGTTGTAGAACAGTTGATACTGTTTACATGTCTTCAGCAATTTTATTTTTAATTCATATTTTACCTCTGCTTAGACTGCATCCCACCATTTCATTACTCTTACTGTACTTTTAAAAACAATGTATGTGTGTGGATGAATCTTACATGCTGATACATATGCATAGTTGCAGTTTACAGTATTCGAAGTAACCCATATATTTTTTTTTTTTTGTGAAACAAATACTGAAGGTTTTGACTAGCAAGAATATGTTTGGGATGATGATAACTACAATGTTGGAAGAGTTAAATCTAGATAGAAAAGTAAATCCCATTAGAGGATCCTAAACAATTACTAGGAGAAGGCTGGCTCTTATCCAAACAAACATGAGTTAATTATGGTAATGAGAATTTGCCACTTGTGGATACTGTAAAATAGCATAGCCCATTCTTGTTGGACTTTAGTCATAAACTGAGAGGGATTCTAATTTAAGAGTAGAAGTTGAATTGGGAGACAAAGGTGAAGGGGGGGAGGTATAATTGGAGTGTGTTCTATGCATGTGTGAAAATGCCACCATGAATCACATTATTTTGTGTTGCTAATCTACTGTATTGAAAATATGAGTAGTTTTCTTATATGGTTAAAAATTTTTAAATTGGGGTTTGTAGGTTTCATCTACCTAAAGAGTTAGAGTATATACATTGATTTTTACCAACTTGTCTTGAATCCTACATAGGCAAATCACTTAGACACTCCAAACTCTTGTTCAATGGGCAGCAATTGCAAGTTTTTAGTTATAAATTACAAGAGCAAAAATATAGCAAAAGTAAACCAGACTCAGAAAATTATAAGTAATACTTTTCATTAATGAAGTATTCATGCTATCTGATACAAGTTTTAAAAAGAAAACACACTTTATAGGCATTATTTGATGTAGAAAAGGAGTTTTGGTACAAAATAAGCATAGTGAACCATGAACTGTGGAGTTAAATTAGCTCTGTTAACATCTCAACTCTCCACTTACTAATTTGGAAAGCTGATTTGAATTCCTTCTACCTCATTTTCTTTATTTGTAATGCTCTTACAGAGTGACTAGTAATCAACTTTCATATCAAGAAAAGAATAGCAAAAAATTTTTAGTAATCATTAATTATTAACCTAAGTTACATGAAATTCCATTGATCATCTTTATTTCAAATGCTTTATTTAGACAAGATCCCAATGTAACTGTACTATATACCTAAAAGGTACCAATAAACTCAATGAGAAAAAAAAATGCTTTGTTTAGTAATACTTAGAAAGACTTTTTAGATTCTCATACTGTTTTCCCATGCCTTCTTGCAAGACTTCACCTATGCTTTTCTTTTCCAGAGTGTTTTCCAAAAACATAAGAGTAATGCTAAATTGAATAGCAAAAGTAAATGTACAGAGCTAGAATATTTTTCATTAAATGAAAGTAACTTGAAGTCAGAGTTCAATACAACTCTATCCAATCTTCCTTCAAAAATCAATAAATATATATTGAAGCTCTTTTACATACTGATGAATTTGGGCCATAACCATGAACAAAATACATGTAGCCTCTGCCCTCACAGAACCTGATTCTACCTAGAGCCATAACTAGACAAAGTAATTTTATAGGAAGCTTATTACTATAAAATATGGATGATCTTTGCCTCATAGAATTGTTTGTATTGTTAAATTAGGTAATACAAAAAGAATGTGATAGGGCTGGTTATTTATCTCAGGCATGGAACGCCTGCCTACCATGTGCAAAATTCTGAATTTGATCCCCTGCCCCACCAAGAAAAACAAAACAAAAAATAATATAAGTAAACAGTGTAGTGGGCACTTGGATGTTAATCAGTTTGTCTTCTATTGTGAATGCATTAGAAATATAATTAATGGTACTAGCATGTAAAGTATAATATGCTATGCCTTAAAAATTCTATAATGTCATAATTCAAAGAATTTTTGAAAATTTATAGTTGAAAAGGTAAGGTATAAACTTACTATTTATAGATGTAAGATGAACAAGAACTAAAGGCATAAAATTCTGATTTCATTGAAAATGGTATTTTGTAAATTTTTATAAAACTTTCTAATAAAAGATTATAGTTTAAAATGCTTTATGATTTTTTTTTCCTTTTTGATGCCAGGGATCAAACTTGGGCCCTTGCGCTTGCAAGGCAGGCGCCAGAACCACGGAGCTAAATCCCTGCCTTGCTTTATGTCTTTTAATCATTAAATATTCTTAAGACTATGAGGCAGTTGCTTACCAGAGCTTTATAAATAAGGCAACTGAGGCAGATGCTTTAAACAATTTTCACAAACTCAAACAGACTCTACAGGATAGAACTTGGATTACAACCCAGGTAGTTGTGCTCATAACAACAATGGAATACTGCTTCTAAAAGAAAATTGGCATTTTAAACATTGTCCCAGTAAATCACTTCTAAATATATCTTTTTTCCTGATCATTCTTTAAAATAGCTGTCATGGATGCACTAGTAGAAGATGATATCTGCATTCTGAATCATGAAAAAGCTCACAGAAGAGATACAGTGACTCCAGTTTCAATATATTCAGGAGATGAGTCTGTTGCTTCACATTTTGCCCTTGTCACTGCTTATGAAGACATCAAAAAACGACTTAATGATTCAGAGAAAGAGAACTCTTTCCTAAAGAAAAGAATAAGGTTTTTGGAAGAAAAGGTAATTTTTTTCTTCAACCTTCCTCATGTTTTATGACATAAATAGTAATTTAAAATATGTGATATGTTAAGTATTTTCTGTCCTGTGTTGCTTCTTTGTACTAAATTTCCAAGGACATCATACTATGCATACCAAAATTTTTAAGCACTAAACTTAACATTGTTTCATTTATCATGTGCTTAGCAAATATTTTTAGAATAGGATTTAACAACTTAGAGAAGTTATTTTCCAGATATGTTTTTTCTTTTTTCAGATTGCCTTACTTTCCTAGCTGCAAACATCTCATTTAGAATGTTCAAATCTGCAAAAAAGTGACATACTAGTGCAGGAATTAAGTGTGGGGACCATTAGTTTAATATGTTTAGTAAGTTCTTCACTAAGATTGAAATCTTTGCCTTTACATTCCCTATTTTCTTCCATACATATTAGAAATAATCCTTTTAACTGATAAAGAAGTATAATTTATTTTTTCATTCGAATGTTGACACTTATAAATGTTATAAAATATATAGCAAGGTAGCTAATTCAGTATAAATTACCACTCTTGCTTGCTTTTATAAATTGGGACATCTATAAGAGATTATTTCTTTAGTTCCTTTCTAGAGAAGTTCTCTGATCATACAGAATACCAGAAACCACAAGGATGAAGTATAATGTTCTCTGACTCTTGGTGTTGCTTTGCTGCAACTGCCATTTGCGTTGATGACCGGTCTTCTCATCTTTTGGAGAGTAAGAGGGAGAGAATGTGGCTGAGTCAAAAAACAAAGGAGGGATCTTAAAAGCGTTCAATTCATACAAAGTTGAAGTAAAATGAGGAGAATCGGTTTTTAAAATTGTCATAATTTCTTTCCATTCATGTGAATGTGATAGTGATTAAACTTGTGATATACTGGGATAAGGTGAGAGAAGGTAACTTTTTGGAGCTCATAGCTAGCTAGCTGTGTTTATTTTAAAATAAAATTCAGTAGAAAAAAGATTTGGTGTATAACATTGGGAGTAATGCTGTACTTTGTGATTAACAAGCCTATTAATTTTTATCATGGAGTAATAAAGTATTTAATAAACTGACATGTCTTCTGTAAAAACTTAAATATGATTTAACTTGGTATTTTTTCTCATAACAGAAATGAGACACTGTAGATTTGGAAAATGCCTAAGCACTTCAAAAGAATAGTGTACTATGTTGTAGTATGATGATTTAATTTATTATAAAACACATACTTTATAAAACACTAAGTAAAAGCATAGAAAAATTATGAGAGTAGTCTGTACTTTTTGCTTTCTCAAGCAGTAAAGATTAATTGCTTAGAAATGAAATGTTTTATTATAGGTTGGGCTTTGCTCTGCATTATAACAAAGTAAGATGTAGAGCCATCAGATTTATTTTTCCTATATATATATCCTTTTAGTTTCTTATGTGTATCCTATTATATATATCCAATTATACATATCCTAATATATATATATATTAGTATATCCTATTAAGCTTTCTTTTCTAACTTCATACCATTAAGCTTGTAGGAGCTCGATTAGATGAAGAAACAAATTCTGTGGGACGAGAACAAGTAAATAAGGCCTATCATGCATATCGAGAGGTTTGCATCGATAGAGACAATTTGAAGAGCAAATTGGATAAAATGGTAAGTTGGATTGAAAAAAATACTATATGTTACAAATGAGTTTTCTCTTTCAAGATGTTTAAAAATAAAGAGGCTTAAATATTTATATTTATTAACTAAAAACTTTAAATATACACGTTCAAGCCCAAATAGAAATTTTTTAATTTGTATTCATATTAATTTCAATACAAAAGTAAATAGTTTGTAATGATGTTTAGGACTTAAATACATCTAACACCACTAATTTATTTTGAAAAATCAAGACATTAGTAGAAATATGTTTATAAGAAAAAAGCTGGTGAATCATAATGTCCTGAGACAAGAAAGGAGATTAGTGAAAAACTGAGTTTATTTTCCCATCTTGCTTTTAAAGGCCAAAATGAGTTTTTTCAATTATCTACCTAAAAATTAAGATATAATACTATATATAGAGTCTATTGAATGTAATTTGGCATTTTCCCTACTCAAATAGAATAAAGACAACTCTGAATCTTTGAAAATATTGAATGAGCAGCTACAATCTAAAGAAGTAGAACTCCTCCAGCTGAGAACAGAGGTGGAAACTCAGCAGGGTATGCCACTTAACTTGTTATAAAAATACTAACAGAATTAATGCAGTTTTTAAAAATTTTGTGTTTTATTATGTTTCTTATATTTGCATTCTACGGCCTTAACTTATTTTCAATTTTTGGCTTAATGTTAATTTTTCCATTCTGCTTTCACACAATACCAGTTTTTGTTTTTTGTTTTTCTTTAACATTTTCTTAGCTAGAAACTATACTTTTCTTTCAATTTGATGATTTTCCTCAGGGCTAGTTTTTGATGAAGTAGAGTAAGAAAGGAGTCAAATCCCAGCTTCAAATCAAAACTTTCGTGTCCTGCCTTACCTGTTTTTACTGAACTTTTTAGAAATATTTTCATAGAGTACTACTTTCATGTCCTTTTTTATTTATCTCTTTCTAAAGATTGTTAAAAGATACAGATGAAATGTTGAGGTGGAAAGTTTGGTCTTGTGGTTATGGTTAAGTGTCTGTTCCCATGAGATAAGATGAAGAACAGAGATAGATACCTGGTAGATACCTTTTGATAGAAAATTAATAGATGTAATAGCTGGTTAGAGGTTTTTGTACATGGAGAGACAAAAGTACCATATCAAAGATAAAATGGTATCTAGTTGTACTGATTTTCTACAGTGGAACATTTATCAATAAGATTGTTTTAACACCATGTTCTAGGCTGTTGGCCATGCTTCGTGCTCTAAAGAAAATAGTTGAAATGATTAGCTGAGCATCAGTTTATCATTTTTATCCTTAACTGGCTTACACAGAATAGATTATTGATCTATCTACATTTAAGCACATATGTATTTTTTAAATGTGATATCTGTTAAGATTTCCAAACTGACAAATTTATACTTGATTTGAATAGAAAACCAGAGATGGGTGATTAATATATTATAAAATAAGATTAGATTTTTATTCTTATTAGCATAGATTTTTGAAAGTAATTACTGTCTTTAAAAACTATTGATTGTTGTATATGTTTTATGTTAGTTTTTCTTTTGTCTTCATTTGCCAGTATAACCTTTTTAGAATTGCAGTCAGTGCAAAAGGCACTGATAACAATTTTGATGTTAATTCTTTTTGTAGTGATGAGGAATTTAAATCCACCTTCATCAAACTGGGAGGTGGAAAAGTTGAGCTGTGACCTGAAGATTCATGGTTTGGAGCAAGAGCTGGAACTGATGAAAAAAGAATGCAATGATCTCAAAATAGAGCTACAAAAAGCCAAACAAATGGTATTAAAAAATTATTAAATTGAGAAATTTGGTATTCTTTTTGCATTATAGTTTGTGATACATTAATTGTAGATAGGAATGTTCTCATTCAGTGAAAAACTCATTTTTTTCTTTATTTCTGCTAAAGTCTAATATACACTTTTCATTTGATCCTGGAATACATAATTTTGTTTCTAAAAGAGATTTAAGATGCCTGTTAAGTTATTTGACTTCTTTCAAATTCACTTTCCGTTAGTTTCTTTGCTTTTTTATTTTTTTTTTGTAATGTTTAAGGAGAACTCAAACTTTAAGTTTCCCATTTAATTTAACTTAATTTGATTTATTTACACTTTGACACAGACAACTTGACTTTTAAAGTTCTTTAAAGAAAAATCACCAGTTAGCAAAAAAGCTCTATAGGGCTTACCTTTCAGATGTATTTTTAGAGCAACTTTAATTATCAACAAATAGCTAAGAATTCAAGAGTCTGGGGATTAAAAATCTGCCGCACTTCTCTAGTGTGCTTACCCTAATGTTGTCTACTGAAACACAAGGTACTTCTCAGATTCTCACCAAGAGTGTTTTTACTAATACTTAACTTTGGATTCCAACAAGCATGGCTATTTTTTTTTTTTAGATGTCATGACATGTAGTGCTGAGCACAACAGAAAAATGTAAAGGAGCAGGGTCGTGTCAGCTGTGCACCAAATGAAAAATTTAAAATAGTTATTAAAAGAAATTGAAAGCTTGATAATCTGGAGTGAATATCCATTTCTTGCATTTTTGTACTCTAAACTAGCTACAGTATTATCAGTTCAGTAATGCTCAGCTCAGCCATTTTGAGTAGCATTTCCATGCTATTGAGGAAATGTGTCTCCTGTTTCTTGTTCCTCTGGGATATCCCAACATCTAAAGGAAATGCTTTCCCTACTTCCTTACTGCCAACCAAGGTGTTGCTTGACTCCCATCATATCCTTATATGGAGCCAACACCTATCTCTTCTAGTCTTTAGCAAAGGTGACCACTGGATAAGATTGAGCCAGGTGTAAGAATAAAATAGCATTCTGCCCTAGCCTTGACCAATGAATTCATCTGAGTAGGGCAGTGAAAACACCTCGGAGCCCCCAGCTCCAAAGAGGAAACACTCGTAATTGTCAACTCCTGTTAGGCTCCAAAAGGATGGTGTTTTGATTTTTGTTTCCCTGTTTGACATTGGAAGTTTATTCTGCCAGCTTTGAATGTGGCTGAGTTGCACACCACCATTTCTTCAAAGGGTTCTAGCCTCCTGTTGCACAGGCCCATTACAGTGGCCTCTAAGAGCCCTTTAAAAAGATGTGTTTGCAAGAAAATATTTACAATTTAAAGCTCTGGAATGTAATAGTATATATATTCTCCTTGAAAGGAAGTAATTTGGTAGATGTTAAAAGATATTTTATTGTAAATTAGGAAGCAGTACTGTGGAATCATGGAAATCTGGCTCATAAATTGTATTGCTTATTGACTATGTAACATTAGGAACATCATTTCACTTTTCATGGAATTTATTCTGAACATTAAGTACCTATTTTTTTTTTTAAAGAAGGTTTAAATTACTGTTTGTAAAGCAGTTAGCAGAGTGAGTAGGATGTACTGTCTTCTAAATTAAAAAAAAAAAAATGGTTGCAGTAATCCAGAAAGGCAGTGCATTTAAGTATCTGTGTATTGGGGGTTAGGAATAAAATTTCATTGTTAACTTGTTATTCTTTTCCACTAGATGGTGCTAGGGAATAAATTGGTTTTTAATTTAAATCTGTCCTAAGCCTAAGCAATGAGATCACAAAAACAGAATTTTAGAAGAACTTTTAAAAATCACTTCAACTGAACAAAACCAAATCCAACAAACTTTAAGAGTTGAAGGTAAGGTTAAGGAGGAATATTGAAAAGGGGAAAAAAACGTTTAAAGCATATTGCTGGCTTCCACAAGCATTGATTAGTGGTCGTGGGAGGCTGTGAAAAAACAACGCTTATCTAACATAAAGAAATGAACCAAGAAAAGGAATAGAGGATATAACAATTTATCCAGTGTCCCAAGTTGAAGTCTTGATGTTATGGAATATCTGCTTTTAAAAAATCTTGTTTTAGAGGTGTTGCTGATTAGAATCCTCTTGGATATGCGAACCTGAAAGCAAGCCAAAGAAAGACATTTCTTTTCACATTAATAAACATATCTACTGTAGCCATATTTGCAAATATTGTTAAGATGGTACTTTCTGTGAAATATAGTTTTAATGCTTCTTGAAGTATGTAATAGTTAAAGTATGTAATAGTATACTACATGGATTTACTGCTGCTTTACTTTTGTTGTATTTTAGTGTTCAGTTAGTGAATTTAGTTAATTACTGTTTGGTGAGATCAAGGTTTCAAAAGCAGTCCACTAGGGACCTTTAGATGTTCTGTGTCCCCAGTATTCCAGCCATTTATATTCAGAACCATTGATAACCGTAAGAAATACAAATTCCACAGCTGGAAAAGATTAAGAAACACTAGATCAGTAAAATGGAGTTGATATAGAAGATGTTTGAAGTTTTTTGTTTTGTTTTGTTTTTTAGTTTATTGGTACATTTTAGGTATACAGTACAGTTACATTCATCATTGGGATCTTGTTGAAGTTCTTAATAATAGCTATAATAATATATTTACAGTAGGCTGTACGGTATTAAAAGTTCTGAAAAGTGGGGCTGGGGATTTAGCTCAGTGGCACTGTGCCCACTTTGCAAGCGCAAGGTCCTGAATTCGATACCCTGCACTGCAAAAAAAAAAAAAAAGAAAAAAAGAAAGAAAATCCTATAGTATAGGAACTTATGTAGCTTGAATATTATATCCTAATAGTTTGTAGCCACAAACCCTCTTTTATGTGAGACTCCAGTTTCATACCGTGGAGGTTAGGAAACAGTTCCATTACTGTCTTCAGACACTGCAAACTGATTGGTGGCCATGAAAAAAAATCTTTTAATATTAGAAATAACCTCTAAGCTTATTGCTGATTTATGTAAGATTTTTCTGATTTATGTAAGACTCAAAACTCTAGATTTTTTTTTTTTTTACATTTTTTGGCCTTAAAAATGAAAATTTCCAGTGAACATACATGCATAAGTATACACTAGTGAAATTATTTTTTAAATTAACAATACAAAGAAACTAAAAGTACTGATTCATTTGATTCCTATGCGGATTAGGAAAGAATAATATCCAGTGATGTGTGCTTCGTTAGTATCAGAACTCGCTTGATTTATGGGCCCGAGCTCTCTGAGATGCAGTTTAATTTTTTTTCGGGGGGTGGTACCAGGGATCAAACTTGCGACCTTATACTTGCAAAGCAGGCAGCAGAACCACCAAGCTAAGTCCCCAGCCCTTAATTTTGCGGGGGCAGTACTGGTGATTGAACTCAGGTCCTTGCACTTGCAAGGCAGTAGCTAGAACCACTGAGCTAAATCCCCAGCCCCCCAGCCCTTAATTTTTAATAGTATTAAAATTAGAGGCCCCAAACTGCTTTAACTCCTATAAGATGCACTTTTATTGTTTTATTCTCTTATAGAGTACTCAAAGTTCTTACATAGCTTTCAATGTTCACTTTAAAACTTACTTTATATAAGTAAAATTAAACTGTTTTCTTGGCTTATAAGAACTTAATGAAGTTCTTGCCCATTCATTTTGTGTCTGTGGAGAGAGGAAGGTTATGCTGATCTTTCTAAACAGTAACATACTTTTTAGATTATAATGCAAAAACATGAAATAACCAAGAAACTTCCATTTTCTCATGGAGTTCATTTGTATAGACCTTGAAAAACAATAATGTGATAAATATATCATACTTTTTAAAATATAGAGTTAAGATTGGTATTCTAGAAATAAATGTGTAAGTTTTCGATTTCTTCATAAATGAGCAATTTTATTTTTGCAAGAAAAAATTATTAATGGTCTAAGTAATTCAAAGTGATTTAGAAATTTAAGAGATAGTTTGGTTGTATTTCATTAAAGTTGTGTATGAAATCTAGTTTTGTCATGTATGCCATGGGCTGAGCCTGAACATGACTCTTTCTTTTCCCTGCTCCCTTTCTCCTCCATAGATTACAGCGAAACGGACTGTGTCTGTATACACTGGATGGCACAGCCCAAGGAAACAGTTATACTGTATTCTTCCCTGTTTTCTTCCCACTAGGCCATGTAGGCATATTTGCCCTGCCTTCTCTTCCTGTGCGCCTTCCACTATAAATGAGGAGCCTGCAGTGCTCCAGGTGGCCATTAGCTCCCTGACAAGCTGTGGTTTCACCTGGTCCCATCTAGCAAGAGTAACCTTGGTCTCCTAATCTTTCTTCATCTCCCACAACTCTCCTGGGCTTCGGACCCTACTTATGCAGGTCACAGCAGCTATATAATCATAGATGTGTTCTGCAAAAGTTGAAACATCTCTGGCCACAAAGAGCTGGGAATACAATAATTCAGCTTTTTAATTTTAATTTTTTAATCACAGGATTCATCTCAGGAAGACGGTCTGAAAAGTAACGATCTCCAAAGACTAAGCATTTCAAGGTATGAACATTTTTCAACGTAAGAATGTGTTTTATTCTATAAGTTACTTTGTGTTTGTACTTACATTTATTTGTTACGATTTAATCTGAAGCAGATAGATACTATTTGGATGCTGAATGTTACCTCTGCTCAGAATGTACTTTAAAAAAACGTTTAGCAGCAGGCTTGAATTTAAGTATTAGGTATACATTATGATGTCTTAAAATTTCTAAACATTAATATTTTAGATACAATTTTAAGGAACCTGCTACGTGGAAGTATTCAATAGTAATCCCTGATTTTGTATACGAGGAATTATACATTTCCATTATACAGTAATACATATTTGTCTTAAAGGCAAACTTAGACAACTTTAGTCTTGGAGATAGCATGAATTTTAAGAGAAGTATTCCTTTTAAGTAGCCATCAGAGTTCATGCATTTATTTACCTCAGTCCTTTTTACTGAAGTGACACCTTTATTTTAAATTAATTAATAATTTTTGTTTCTACTATGTTAGGATGGCCTCTACATAGATACCTTCCATCCAGTGAAAATTACTGATTTGACTTCAGTGTTAAATCATTTGGCTTCCCACGTTTATTGACCTGAATAAAATGTGAACTGTCTCAGATCTACTCCTGTCAAAAGCCAGCTTGAGAGGAACAATTAGGGAAAACAATTTGAGGAAATGACATGCAGCTACTCTTCCAGATCATGAGTGGGCAAACTTTTTACATAAAGTAACCAGGCTTTGTGGGCTGGCTAGAGTCTGGTGCAATTGCTCAACTTTCCTGTTTGAACAACATTTCAATTATGCCCTTAAAACTTTATCTACATTTATCACGAGAAAGTTTTTCCTTTTTCCCCCAGTGTGTTTAATATGTCCATGTAAACTTCTTAAAAGTTATATTCTTTATCACAGTTACCTTTTCTCCTATCAGCCTGGGTTTCTCCTTATTAATTTTGTTGTATTTGTCATTTTTACAAGCCACCTCAAATCATTCTTGGAAAAAGTCAAGGAGTTAATAAATATGCCAGAATCAGAGTAACTCAAATTAGATGTAAATGGTGTAGAATGCTTCCATTCATTCTGGATTGTATAATTTGGATCATTTCCATTAAGAATATCATGAAAAGCTGGCCACTGCTCACCCTCCACCCCCCAGTATCTGTTTGAAGGCATCAGACACCTAACAAGATAGTGAAGAATCTCTGTGCCAGAATTTGGGGGAGGCTAAAATAACAAGGAGGTAAGTCCAGTATTTGAGACTGTAGAGCTGTAATTATAACAACAAACTACAGTCTTTAATTCTCAAAATCCCAGTATCAATTCTGAGAATCATCTAAACTTTTTTTACAAGGCATTTTCTTAAGTTCAGACTAAAATACTTTGTGTTAAAGCCATACCAAGGGTATGATATGTATAATGAACTTTGTAATTAAAGCAGGTGGCTTCCCTTTAGTGCTAAAATGTGCTTGTCGGGGGGGTTAGGTGTTGCAAATTGGTTGGGAAGTTACCTTGTGCACTTTTAGGTGAAACAATTTAGATGATAAATTTACTATATTAAAAAAAGTACATGGGAATATTTCTATAAAACTATTAAAGGTTTAGCTATTTAAAAAGTTATTTGGAAAATCCCCTTTGGTGAATACTCTTCTTTTTTAAATTCCTTCATAACATTGCCAGGGAAACAATGTACTACATTAAAATAGATTGAACCTTTTAATTACTGGATGCCTTTTATAAAGTACTGTACTGTATAAAAAGGCCATTTAAGATTAGCACTAAACTTTAGCCAGTATCCTATCTTTGTCCTATTTTGGTGTTCACTTTACATTGACAACTTCATTTTTCAAACCAGATCTGGGTATAGTTACTATACTTCTTCTGTTCATCTGTATATTGTGTGTCTTTCACAAATGATGTGTGAAAATGTAAATCCATGTAAATCCCTCATTTAGAAAATACAGATTAGGTTATTGTATTTCAGCCTATCTGATCATGAAATTTTGTAATATGACAAGCATTTATAAAATACAGAATAAAACAAAAGAGGATGTATCAGAGTATATTACTCATAAGTGTATGTGTGGTATATTTGTAATTGGTGCTTTTTGGGTTACAAAGTAAAGAGATTGATACGCCTGCAATCATTGTGTTTAAGATACTCATTTGGGGGAATCACAGTTGTCAATTTTTTGTTTAATTTTGTAGATCTTGGCTATGAACATCACTTTAGTATAATTTACTTAGGAAGACGTAATCATAAATGGAAATGTTCTATATTAAAGCATTCAATGTATAATTTCAATTAAGAAAGCAGAGCTTTTATACTTTACTTTAGAATCAGAACATGTAATCCTTTCATGAGTTGCAGACAAGCAGGCTTCATTACATGTCAAAGATGTGAAGTTTTATACTGAGACTCAGAAGATTGTGTCAGCACTTTGGACTTTGTTAAGTGGCGAATATGAAAAATGCTATTCCACAAGAGCAGTGATTGGTCATTAGCTTATACTGGTAAAGGACAGCTTTGACATAGTAGACTGGAATAGACTCCTGAATTTGTTTCCTCATGTGCAGAATGAGGTTACTCACTTTGCTAAGTTGTTAAGAATGTGGGTGAAATGTTTAGCACATAATAAATGCTCAACTATCATTTTTGTTTCATTGATAATATTTAGCCAAGGAGTTTCTTGGAATGCCCAAATGTTACATTTCAGTGTTCAAGTATAGTTATATAGCTCTTTACAGACAATTTTAATAGCATTTTGCTTGTATGTTATTTAAAGCTTCATATTCCCAGGTTGGAAACTAGGTGAGGTGGCATGTAATCTATGCATAATCTTAAAAGTACTTAGGTAAAATACCTAATTCAGAGTTAGTTGGAACCCTGTTAACAATTTGAGTTAACAACTTGCCTTTTCCAATCTGTTGAGTAATCATTTAAATATTTCCTTAAAATAGATAGAATTAAAAGTAATTTTTATATACTTTGAAGATTTATTACTTTAATATTAATTCTAAAGTAGGTAACTGTAATTGCGATTACTTTGTTATCCACAAGAGGGAGAGCTTATACTTAGTAATAATCTTAGGTTTTTATATTTTTAATTTTCAATTCAGATGACATAAAAGACAAAAAGACTAGATGTATGTTAAACTCCATGACCTAATTTTCCACCTAACCTAATTTTAAGTGGTCTTCATTAAGTTGAATTGAAAAATATCCATTAGACACTGTTGATATTTCTTTAATTGTTCCTCTTCTATTTTACATGCCTACCTACTTTAAATGATTAGATATGTTTGGTATTTCTTTACCCAAATATTATTATAGGTTTTTTTTTTCAAATCTGGTACTGATATACCATCTAATGCCAATATATACTTTTTAAATTGCATTATACTCATTATGACTGCATTAATTAGCACAAGTACAGTATTTACACTTACTGCTATGTAATTTGAGGAACTCTTTGGAAAGCATACCAAATGCCCAGAATTGCACCAAGGAACCAGCAGTTAGTTCTCTTCACATCTTCACACTTAAAAACAGGCTCCTTTGTGAAACATTCTTTTGTAGTGAACATCTCAGATGTTAGCTGGTGAAGTAGAGGTGGGTAACTAGTTTTTGCGAGGTAATTATTTCACACGTATCAAAAACCTGCAAAAAGCCCTGTGATTTTTAATACACTATGAGTTAACAGATGAAATTCAAACAGACTAAAACAAGTGGACTTTTCTCCAAAGCAGTATAAAGTATATTGTGCTGCTTAGTCTGAATGAATTATAGTCCTCAGAAGAATTGGAATATTTTGAAAGGAAAGGTACTAACCTTGAATAATTGACAATAATTTTAATACATCTATTGTTCTTCTGGTAGCATATTAAAGTTAGATTTTTAGAAGGGTTATCTTTGAAATTTTTTTAATGGCTGGACAAAAAGCATGTGGTGACATGTGTTTGTTTAGTTTGACATTGATATCTCTACAAAACAGTAGTGGCTGTTAGGATGCTATGAGATCATTTATTCTTACATTTAAAATGGTTTGTATCCTTGAACAACACAATGAGAGCATGTGCTGAAGATTTCAATTCATTTGGCAGTTAAGCTGAAGAAAATCATGAATGTCCAAGTAAGACTTACTTATTGAAGAATAAAGCCATTAAAAATTAAATTTAAAATAACTATGGCTCCTCAGATAGTCGAGGTAAAATACTTTTAATTATGAAAATCTGAAACACATTTTAGAAGTTATTTCTGTTTCATATAATCCTCCCTCTCTAGCTTTTAGCTTATGAGGAAATCATCTGGCTCTTCCTATCTTGTGCTGTCATGTCACATTGGTTTAGAACCAATAATATGAGACAGCCCAGTCAAACATAAAAGAATGTAATGCATGAAACCTAAATTTTATTTTAATGTAGACTTGGGTATATATTCTGCAATTGATACATCATTTCGGTCCATAATGTCAAAACCAAACAAATACAAATTTAGAATACACAAATATAGGAATGAACTTTATCTCAGTACATTTTTATGAATGAAGAACATACGCCTTACTACTTAATTATATTAAAATCACTGCATATTGTAGGCTGTATTAAAATCTCAGGTCTGAGACTTATAAAAAATATATAACCTGTTTAATAATACAGTACATGTAATTGCTAGAACTCAAGAAGACATTGTAACTTCACTTATGTCCTAATTAAATAGCTTTTAATTATTAAGCTTACATTATCACAAAACTAATTGGAGCAGAAATGTAGATCACTTATTTGTACTTTAAAGTACTCCCTTTTATATGAAGAATGATGAGTATTAACTTAAAAACTTTATTTCAGTGATAATATGCAACATGCATACTGGGAACTGAAGAGAGAAATGTCTAATTTACATCTGGTGACTCAAGTACAAGCTGAACTACTAAGAAAACTGAAAACCTCAACTACAATCAAAAAAGGCAAGTCATTGTTTGCCGGAAACCACTGATTGCAGCCAGACTGCTTAGTTTTTATATCTTATCAAAATCTCGTCAAATGAGTTTGATAAGCTTAATTATATACAGTATATCCACGGCCTACCCATTCTTTGCTTTGGTTTCAGTCTCATACTGGTCACTTCACACATAGAGGTGTTGCTGATGTGTTTTTTTCTTTAGTACTGTATTCTTTTCCCTTGTGGCTTTTCTCAGCCAAGTGTTGCTTATGTGTATAAGGGTGAGGTGTTAAGTTTGCTCTTCTTGACCTTTTACCACAACTACTTCATATACTTAACCAAAAAACCTAAAGCAATTTTTAATGCCAGTGCTACCAAATAAATGAAGACCTCCCTTTTTGTTTTCAGTAACATTGATTCATTATTTAGGTGTTTAGATTTTTAATAATTTTCCTAATAACTGTATAGGAGGGAAACTTTATCCCCTTCAGCCAAACAAAAATTTTAATGGCTTTGCTTTCTGTATTTGACAGCCTTACTGTCTAAACTTTTTGAGTTTTTTGTCAGCTACAAGTATTAGTGGCTAAAGCTATGTTATACCTTGGGAAAAATACAGTATAATCTTTACCATGTATTATATAAGAGATTGATTTCCAAAAAGTATGCACTATAAAGTTTAAAGCCTTAAAATTTACTGGAATGAAGTATTACCTTTAAAAAAAGATAGTTACCACTTAATTTAAAAGTTATTTGCAACTTTTTGTCTTAAAGAGCACTACAGAATTATTTTATAAATAGTTATTCTCAGGGAAAATGTTGCACAATGGGAAGAAAAATTCAATCTAGAATTCCTTTCACTTTCTAGAGAGTTAGTTGCTTTTAAATCAGGCCAAATAATAAGTTTTAGTGAGCATACCTTAATTTATGGTTCACTTTGTCCTTATGTTTCCAGCGATCAGAATTATATATGAAAAGACTAAGTGGACTTCTTTTTAAAGGGACATGGTAACTTTATAGTGAGTTTTTGATACGGCTCTTGAAGCAGTAATTAAAACTTCTAAAGAATAGTAATTTTTTTCTAAACTTAGGAATGGATCATCCTGTGTTCCTTCTTAGCTGATTGATGTATGTTCTGATGCTGTGGATGACAACTTTTCTAACACATTGCCTTTAACAGTGCCAGACACAAAGTCACCATCTCTTACCACAGTGCATTGTTTTGTAGGAGACAGAAATAATATCATAGATCACTCTTTGCTGTGATCTACATATCACCTTTATCCAGAGCTAAACCTAAGTGCTTCCACTTCTAGCCCATTTCTATCCATCCTCCCAAGAAAAACAGCTTATTTCATAATGTTCCATTTGTTTCTTCCAAAACTACATGGAGTCAATTACGCTTAACAGTCCTTGGGCTAAGATTAAAATTATCTTTCTAAGTTCATAAGCTGAAGTTGAATTAGTAATAGAGAAGCCCATATTACCAGTATTCTAGCTGTAGCTAAATAAGATTGTTGTATTCCAAGCCACTGTATGTACACAAACTTTTTTTCACTTTTTACTTGATCTGTATTATGATCACAGCACAATTTACAAAATAATTTTAAGTAGAATTATTTTACAGCTTAAACTGCTTTATCCATAGAATCCTTTGAATATATAATACAATAAATAGCAATTATTTCTCAAAAAACTTACTTTTGGACTACCTATGGAGAAAGGGTTAGAAGAGGAAAGGAATGTCCTACTTAAAACAGAACAATTTTCTCAGGCCCCATTAACACACAAATGATCTGTAGGCCTTCACTAGCCAGATTAAGTAGTGCCAAACATGAGATTTGTACTTATATTTTAACTATTGGTTTACAACTTTTTAAACTGTAACTTTTCATCTTTTAATACCCTGTGACAGGATTGCTACACCTATTTTAGATAAGGAAAGTAACATTTGAATGACTAGAACTTAGATCATGCATAATTTTATCTACAAGTCACATGGTTCCCTTTTCATACTAAATTAGAAAAGTTAATTTCATTACCATTATTCAGCCACATTTGTGAAGTGTTATAGTATTCTGTGATAACAAATGCCATGAAAACTGATATTTATTCTTTGCTCTCTTTTTAGCTTGCACTCCAGTTGGATGCACTGAAGACCTTGGGAAAGATAGCACAAAATTGCACTTGACAAATTTCACTGCAGCATACAAAAGACACAGCTCTCCACCAAATGGCAAACCTCATTGTCATACTATATCTTCCCCTTTGTCAGGGGATATAAAGGTTTTATCAGAGAAAGCAATTCTCCAGTCATGGACAGATAATGAAAGATTGATTCCTAATGATGGTACAGACTTGCAGGAACACAACTCTTACGGCAGAAATTCTCTGGAAGATAATTCTTGGGTATTCCCAAGCCCTCCCAAATCAAGTGAGACAGCATTTGGGGAAATTAAAAGTAAAACTTTGCCTTTACCCAACCTGCCACCCCTGCATTACTTGGATCAACATAATCAAAACTGTCTTTATAAAAGTTAATTGTGAAGAGATTTGTGATTTGATCACAAGGTCACTGTATCTCTCTCAGTGGTTCTCCCAAGAAATTATTTAACAAACTAAAAGTGGATTTTGATTTAAATTTTGCCTTTCTTCAGTATATACATTTCAAATAAGGTATAAGTGGTTGGTTTTCTAGTATGAAAGAAGAGCACCCTGCAGCTCTATATACTAAGAATCAGATAATATGCTAACTATATTAATGAATAAATTTAAAGTGTTTATAAAGATACATCTGGCATTTATAACAATTGTGAAATTTACCATAGGTAAAAAATAGAATTGGAGACATTTGGACATGGTGTGACAAGGTATGTGGAATGCCTAAATACCCATTCATAAAAGGAAAGGTAAGCCTCTAATATAGGAAAAAACCATGTACATTGGCTCAGATTGCATAAAGGGGCAAATGACAATGTGAACAGGTTATATTTGTTGACTTTATCATACATAAAATTATGAAATATAATGGAATAAAAGTGATTAGGTTAAAACATCTCTGCTGTGTTCCTAAGTTAAAGACTTAGCCATTTTTTAGCCACAGTTTTTGTTGCTAAAATATTAAACTAACATTGGAAATTTCGAGACTTGAAATAACTTGACCATTGAAGCCAACTTTGGACTAGCACATTCAAGTCTTAAATGGCAAAAAAAAAAGAAGAAATAATTAGACTGTAGTATGTGAATAAACTATTGTAACTTTATACACTAGTTAGAAAGGACATCTCATAGATTATCAGTCTTTGATATCTCTGCAGTGATCCATAAACTGTATAACTATATACCATTATTTTCTTCAAAAGGAATATAGTTGCTTGTTATAGAACTTATAAATTCTTAAACTTTGTTTCAAAATGTACTACTTGGGAAAGTGATTTTCTAATTAATTGAATTAGGAATTTTCATGCTAGAATGAGATTATGTACTGTGTTAATACAGTACAACCACAAAATGGCCCTGAGCTCTTACTGGTTAGTGACTTGTAAATAAGAAAATAAGAGATGGCTTCATGTAGAAACTTACCAAATTCTTTGAGAATAGACGCATTAGGAATGTTAGTAATAATAGTAGTGGCAATAATAGATTATTTGGTTCATATGTCTTTTGCCTGGGATACAGTATTTCCAGTATGAAGATTTTACCCTTATGCAAGTCTCATATATCGTGAACTCAAAGGAAATCTCAGATCTCTTCTGTATTACTGGATAGCATACATACATAGACAATGTTCACTGTTCACATATTTTTGTCTTTCTATTATCTTACTCATTTATTCAAGCTTGTCTGTGATTAATAGAATTGATGTCAGATGCAGGAATTTATTCTGACCAATGAACACGGCTGACTCAAGGGAGTACAGTCTTCCTGCCAAGTAATGGAACAAAACCCAATATGCATAAAACAAATGCAAGACTCCAGGCTTTAGCTGAAGGAAGCAACTACCTGTATAATAACAAAGCAGCAGAAGCTATTTCTCATGTGGCTGCATAGGCCATATATTATCTCTAATCTCTAATGTAGCTTACTGGTTTGATTTTTTTAAAAACAAGATTAGAATTTTTCCTTTGTAAAGAAAAGTCAGGAGAAGGGGCTTCATTAATGTTTTGTACAACGCTAAGAATTAATTACAATTATTTTTGTTCAAAGTGAATATGAAATACTGTCCTTGCCAATATATAGCACAGTCTAGGAGTAATTGTTATTAATTTTATTCCTCTAACAGACAATTGTCTTAATAAACCAAGTTATTCTGAATAAAGAAAATTCCCTTAAATATTAGTGACAGCTATCACACAGGTATGGCTAGAAAGTCAGTGATTTTCTTAACAGCATTAAGGTAAATGATGTGGAAGACTTTTTTTTTTTTGGCACCACGGATCAAACTCAGGACCTGTGCTTGCCAGGCAGGTGCAGAACTCCTGAGCTACATCCCCGGCCTAAAAGACTCAAGTACGAAAATATTAACCAAGAAGTATTTTATCCAGCCAAAATGTAATAATCTCTTTTCTCAAATTGAAAAAGAAATGTGTGACACATCTGTAGCTTATAATCAGTTTAAAATCTAAACTTATGTTGACCTCTTTCATATTAGCCACAACTTAGTCCAAGAGCTTCCCTTGAAATTATTTATTTTTTATAAGATAATCTAATTCAGTTCTATAACTCAGTCATACAAAGAGAACACAAAGTCACCCGTGGTTCCCAGAGTTACTACCTTGAGGTAAAATTTGTATCCCTACAAAGATTTTCTTACTGCCAAAATGAGTTCATATGTAGAGCAGGTATATAAATGAAACATTAGAAAACAAAAAATTCAGATTTCAGAGCTAAGTAACTAAATCATGACAAAAGAGAAATGATTTCATCCAGTAAAGCTACCTGGAAAAGGTAAATCTTAAGCAGAAAAAAAAAAGTCCTACATATTTGTATATATTGTCAATTACGAACAGGGAACAAATACAAGCAAAGGCACTAATAAGCAAAATACATGTGAGGCAGATGTACTAGTCTCATAAGTAGATGTGAGTATGTTGAGGCATGAATATTCTAAAGACTACGATTGATTAGTTTTTGTCATGAGAAAGAAGGATGAATGTATGCTACAATATGGTTTGTCTATGTACTTGTGGAAAATGCAACATATGTAATTAAATTTTACATATAAGACTGAAGTTGGGCACTTTAAAAGTATTTGAAAGCACAGATTATATATTTCACTAACTTCTTAACTGTTTTGCCATTTCTTCATTTGAGTAATTAAAACCAAGAATTAAGCTTCTGTGCTTTAGGTAATGCACCAGTAACAAAAGGCCAATGGAGAAATATTAGCTTGTTTGCCTCCTTGCTGTGTACTCTTTTAGGTTTCTATAAGCTTTACATTTGCTCTAGTAATCTCCCTTGTGATCGGTGGCCTAGGAAAAATGTGGTTTCTGTGTATTTCAAGTAAAAGTAAATTAGCTCATTTCATATTTCAGTCAGGTAAAGTGCAGAACTTCAACATCCAGTGATTCTTTAGGGTCCTATTTCATTTCATTGAATACCTTTAAAAAAAGATCTATGCATCTCATGGGATTGGGGCCAAAGTTAAATCTTGTCTTAGTGGATAATTTCTATTTATGATTCTAATGAAGATTAAAAATATACGTAAAATTTATTTATAAACTAATACGGGGGTTGCAGTGAACAGCTAATAGCTCTTGGGGGGGCTAAAAAGAACAATTTTTAATACAAATAAAAGCTTGGCATGGGCCCAAATTATTCCATTGAGACAGAAATTTGTTATAGTAGCTCCTGAGTCTACTGCTTTACAAAATGACAGTTCCCATTTATAAAGATGACTTTTTAAAATGAAATTTTCAGTAGCTAATTTACCAAGTTAGGAAATAAATAGCTGCTGAAAATTTTCCATCAAAGATATAAGGTTGATTCATATAAATATCTCCCTATCCAAATAAGGCTTTACTACTACCTACTAGTTAAAGAGCATTTATCAAGTCTTGAAGCACTTTCCTATATACTCACGATATTCAGTAAATCCTCACAGTAACTGAAATTTATTTCTACAGTTACATAGTTAGTAAGAGGTAGGAAGGATTCTGATTCATAGCCTTCTGCTATACTGATAGTTACTAATATCTTTGAAGGTTTTTATTCCTACTTATTACTTTCCATTCCCATGATTAGCCATTAGCCTATATAATACAAGAACAGACTATCCATATGTAACTCTGAAAATTATTAGTACTGTTACGGAATTATAGTTGTGGAAACACTTGTAAAAAAAACTCCAGAATGACCAGAAATACCATGTTGCATTTCAGTATTTAATCTTAACATATATTTAATAAACCAAAATTTTGCAATAAACATCTTTATTTCATATAAAATTAATATTTTAATTGGGAAAAGTAAACATACATTTTTATCTTGAATCCATTATTTCACGATTTGTATCAGATAATTATGAATATGATATGAGAATTCCTGTCATTTGAGTATTTTGCCTATGTGTTTGTGAGGAGCTTCTGTAGCCTTTTCTTGCTAGGAATTCCAGTTCTTCTGAATTCTTCCCTTTCCTTCAGGTATTCCATTTTACATTCTTCATAAAAGGCTGGATCAGTATAGCTACAAGGTAAACATGAAAATCTTTTAAAAGTGAATGACTTTGCAAGCAGTCAATATAAACAATATTCAGGTTTAATCTTCAGAAGTAGACTTTCAGTAACAGTCACAAATTCACTGTAAACATGCTAACAAACCAATGGAAACAATAAAGACCTAAAGATATATTTTTATGTGACACAAAGCAAAAAAATACATGTTAATGTAAAAATTTTTTATGTAACTGTCACAGGACACAACATTGAGAAAGACAGCTGCTATCCTTGAGTCTGGTTGGTATGAGAGGTGAAGACTAGACTACAACTACATGTAAAAAGTACTGTAACAGAAAAGTGACCCAGTATACCACAAAAACAGGAAGGCAGGAGATACCATAAAGAAATGCTTCAGTTGAATTCTGAAGGACCGATATAAATCCACATAAAAGGTACATAGACAGGAAAACTGGATGCATAAAGAAGTACAAGTGGAAGTACTATAGAAGTTATATGTACGTAACAAAAAGGACTGAGATAAATATGCAAAGCACAAGGACCAAGTCATAATGATCCATATATGCAATATAAAGAACTTGAAATCCATCCCGAGGGCAATGAGTATAATTAACCAAGCACCCATGGGATGAGTTGGGTCTTTGATGAATATGACAGCATGTGCTATAAAGGCCAAAAAACTGCAAAGTTAGATAAAGAATTCCAATAAACTAGTAACCCAAGCAAGACATGAAGGCCAAGGCAAATGAAGAAACAGGAATGAAAGGGATTAAAAGATTTGGTAAGATCTGGAAAATCAACAGGAAATCATCAAGAGTTGGGGAACAAAGACAACTTAAAATCCAGACAACTATATGATTCACCAAGATCCATAATGTAAGAGGACCAAAATGGGACCTCAAGAAAGCAAAGAAATACCATGATCTATAGTAATTTAATCCATGGATACAAACTATTCTTATATTTAAGAACAAGGACAACCCAGAAAAATATCAACTAAGTTATAGATTAAGGAAGAAAAGGTTTAAGTACAGAGGAATGTATGAGAAACTGGAAAACATCACAAATTTTAAGTTTATACTTCAGAACAGCTTTAAAAAAGAGATGGCCAGAGGAGCGTGAAATAAAAGATCTACATGTTGGATCTGGCTATACCTAAGAATTTCATAAGTCAAATTGTAAGATATTCAGGAATGAGTGAAGGTGAGAAACCATTAATTTTCATGACATAACTAAATACAGTAATGGTTACATTTGTGTTCTGGAATTTCAGTACTTAACAGAGCATTTATTCAAAGATAAACATTTCTTAGGACAGTGATGGTGGAGCTCCAGTGGCTCAGTTAGCGTGCAGTACTTAACAGAGTACAGTGATAACCTTTTAGAGATAAGTGCCCAAACTGCAACCCAAAACCCACTTATTGCACTGAAACTCAAATAGGTTTTAGCCTAGAAAAAAATTACTCATACATTAACATCTTTTGTCTTAAAACACAAGCCATAGGCTTGCCACCATGTGAAGATATTCTGAAACCTAATGTCAAGTAAAATTTTAATAGTTTTCTATTTACTTTTAGCAAATGTCACAACTTTTGTTCCTTCACTGATTTTTCTCTCTTCTAAACCATGAGAAGTAGCTTGCCCTGATTTCCTCGCGCCTTGTTCAGGATAAACTACATAGAACATGTTCTTCATATTTCAAAGGAGTAAGAAATGGATGATTATTCAGATGTTAATATTCAGATAAAAATTTAAAAATATACATGTATAACTAAAGCTCAAAAACAAAAAATCAGCAACTATTTACTGAGTACCTACTTTGGGAACCATGGTGAAAATGTTAACACAAAATCACTCCAGGTAAAATTATCCCTTCTCACAGTAAGAAATGACCCAAGGTCACACGGGTAACTTAGCTGTCTCTGAGCTGGAGAAGCTCAGCCCACATTGCCCCTTTTCTAGACCGTGCTTCTGTCAACTCTGCCTTAGAGCTGCCCACTTGCAGGGAGAGACTATATGTCAAATTAAGAATAAATTATGATGACTGAATCGGAAGTGAAAAATCCATCAACATAAAAAAACGTAACAAATTGATTGCTCATTAAACATATAGAAATGAAAGAACAATTTATCACAGAATGAATTCATCACAGTAAAGTGCTCAGTAGAGCTCCTAGCCCATGGATAAGACCTGCTGTTAGCATTAACTTGAGAAAAAGCATTATTTCTAAATGGAGATATGAATTTAAATACATAATCTCTGAAATCCTTTCCAATAAAAAACTTCTAAGTTTTTGAAAATAACACAATTTGTTATTATACATTAGGCATTCAGGTGAACATGATTGATTTAGTCTCCTAAGAAATATACCATACTGACTTATATGGCTCACAGGATAGAGGAATAATATATAAAAAATGAGTGCCTGTTAAAGATATTATTAATAATAACTAAAATATTCTAAAATTTTATTTGTCAATAATGTGGATAATAAAATGTAGAGAGATAAAATGCACATGCATTCAGAGAACTTTGTACACTTCCCCTTAGTAATTTAAGGAGCATCTGCCTGAGTGAAGTGTCAAAGTATTGGCTTTGGGATCTGCATAACAGATTGGTGGACCATACTTCTATGTATGTTGGGGGGCGGTCATGGAGATGTGGCCTTGGCTCTATGTCTGGTCCTTCACTCCTCTGGCACTCTTTCTCTGCCTCCTGTCCAACAGGAACTAAGCATCTTTGCTCTGTCACACTCTTTATGCTGTTTCTGCCTTGGAGCCAACCAACTATAACCTGCATCTCTTTAAAACCATAGTCAAACTAAACCTCTCCTCCATTATGCTGTGGGTACTGATTATTCTGTCTAGCAATGAGAAAGCTGACTAGTAAAAAAAAAAGTTACCAGAGACGTGAGGTAATTGTTATGGCTATAACTTAACCGTGAGATTTAAAAGCCTTTGGAACTGCTTTGCAGGACTTTACGAAGGTCTGAGATAAAGGCTAGAGATGCCCTAGAATTCTGTAAACAGAGCAGGAGTGCTGACGAATGCAGACAGTAAAGGCCAGACTCAAGTTTCAGCTGGGAATAAGAACTCCAGTGGTAGTTGGACTTAGAGGTCATGTGTGCTACACTCTGGCAAAAAAAAAAACCAAAACAAAACAAAAAAAGCAAACCATATCCTGAGACTGCAAAAGACTGAAATTAAGGACAGTAGACTAATCTGGTGGAATAAATTTCAAGATAGCCCAACATTCAGAGTATGGCATGGGTACTGCTAGCTGCTTTTAAAGGCAGAGCAAAAAAATTTAAAAGATTTAAATTTTGGCTCAGAAGAAACCATGGGTAAAGTAGAAATAAAGAGGCATGGCTACTGAAGAGATTAGTGTCATTAATAAGGAACCAAATACTTTGTACAGGGATAAGAAAAAAAAGATGCCTTGAGAGCATCTTAGAAATCAGCAAGAACCCACTATAAGCTCAAAGGTGCAAAAGTGTAAATCTTCCAAGTGAAAAAAAGAGACCCTGAGCCCCCCTACTAGAGAAGGGTCACCTAGGGAATTGGTTCTTCAGGATTCATTTCATTGTGTTTAGCTATCTAAGCACTCAAAAGCATGCTGTCATGGTCAGTCTACTTGAATTGGTAGCAGACTTTGACATCCTCCATGTGATGCTAGTTCTTTAGGCATGCAGAATCCAGAGTTAGGAAGTCAGAAAAGCTTCCACATTTTAAATGAAGGCCTAGAAGTCTAGACAAGGAGCCCCTTACAGGGCATGTATAAGGCTGTAGGAATAAATCCAAAAGTACAGTGGAGACTTGAGCACGTTGAAAGGCCAGGAAGTGAAACATCTGCCAAAGAAAGCTGCAGGCTATGAGTGGAGTCAGCCCAAAAGTAAAGCTGCGTGAGCTGCAGCCAGCAAGGCCATGAGGCGACTGCTCAAGCCCTCTGGAAGGCACCACTCAACAACTGTGTTTCTTGGATGCTAGATGTGGAGCTGCAAATCTTAAAAAGGTTTATCCTGCTGGATTTCATCTTACCTTGGACTCATTCTTTTCTACTCTTTCACCCCAGTTCTTCACTTGTGGAATGGGACTGTTTACGCTGAGCCCACTGTACCCTGGGATTATATAATTTGTTACTGATTTTCACAAATGTTTTTGAGTTTGCCTTGAATCTCAGAAGCAACTCTGACTCAAATCTTTTAAAAAGATTTGAACTACTGAGGCGTTAGGGAATAACTGTTACATTTCTGGTTGTATACAAGATAGTTACGGTTATGTTAGGTGGAATTATGAACTTGCTATTGTCTTTAGAAATTAAATATGTATGATTTGGGTATAAAATTGACAAGGAGTAGGATAAAGGTGGTTAGGGTAAAGGAATGTCAACTTGAATGACTGGGATCCATATGAGGGACTGATGGATGGAGCATGATTGTAGGTATATCTGAGAGGCTGTGGAGGTGTGACCTTGGGGTCTATGTTTGGCCCCTCAACCCCTACTCTCTGGCACTTTCCTTGCTCTACTTTCTGGCCATCATAAGCTAAGCATCTTTCCTCTGCTTTACCCTTTTACCACAATGTTTCTGATTTGAAACCAGCCAACCACAGAATAAATCCCCTTGAAGTGTGGGCCAAATTAAACTTATTTTCCTTTAAATTGTGGGTGTTAGGTATTTTATCCAGCAAAGATACAGGACTATGATGAAATATTAGTGAATATATTAAAATATTTTAAAAATTTAACTTCAGAAATATAAATTTACTTTTGTATCTTTCATATGATTTATTATAACTAATTAACAAATCAAAAGCCTGGAAAAGTTTTCAGAGTCTAATTTAGTTTCTTTCCATTAGAAGAAATAAAAATCAGAATACATTATATTCTATAAATCAACTTAGGATTTGTTAAATCATGTGAAAAACTACACTGTTTGCTGACTTCATATTTTTAATCAGGTACAATGCTGACAAACATAATTTTACAATAAAAAATAATAATCCTTTCGATATATATGTTTTTTATTTTAGAATGATCTTCAACATAGTGAAATTTTGGACTCAGACAAAAGTATGAGAAATTTGGTTGGTTGGGGGAGGTACTGAACATGCTACACTTGATGAGTTAAATATCATACTGTTAGTTAATACACACAAAGAAGTAACTACTTACTAAGCAGTTAGACATTCTTTCAATGCAGAATTTTCTTTCTGGCATTTTACTACCATCAGAATTCCAGAATCTTTGCAACATTTGGTAAAATCTGAAATTTAAAAGAAAAAATTCCTTATAATTACATCAATATAATTTTCAATAGCTCTAAGATATTCATTTAACATTATTACCTACATTGTGCAGACAGGTAGTACATGCTCAGTAAATGATATAAGCACTAGTAAAAGGCAGAATAAGATGAGCAGAATTCAATTTGCAGAAATAAATGAGATTTGAGAGGAAAGAAAGTATTTTTAAAATAAAAGGTTAGAAAGCTTCCTGGAAACAATATAGAGACCAATTAGGATATCTAGTAGGGAAAGAGTACATTCTAGGGGAAGTAAGTAAGAAGGGTCAAAGAATTGTTTCTACACATTGGTTTCTGGTGTTCAGTCTCAGTGTATCTTAGCAATATATGACAGGGCTGAAGGATCCACAGTTAATGGTCTCAAAACACCTCCTTTCTTTCAGACAAGACCGCAATGATGCCTTTGTACCTAGGAATAGAACTTAATTTCATTTCTCAAATCAGCTCTGATGTCCCACAGATTTCACGGTTTTGTTAAATTTCCATTCTACTAGTAGCTTAACTTGTAAATTGCATTGGCCTATTTGGTATCACTTTTTCAGGACCACCAACTCAGAAATGCCTGGAATTATATTCTACTTACAACTGAGCCACTTGCTACTCCTGTCTCATGTTTGTTTCTTTCTGGTCATTCAGTCCTAACATTATCTTTCCACAGAACAGGGTAGTATTCTGCTCTTCACCTTTCACAACTATCTTCCTGTACTATGCACCTATCCCCCTATACTATTCTGGTCCTTCCTTCTGACCACTGGCAACTCATTCCAGGTTTTGCCAATCTCTAATCTGTCCCAAGGTTAGCAGCCTTTTTAATTTCAAATCTTTTTTTTTTTTTTTTTTTTTGGTTTTTTGAGACAGGGTCTCACTATGTAGTTGAGACTGACCTAGAACTCACTATATAGCCCAGGCTGGTCTCGAAATCACAGTAATTCTCCTGCCTCAGCCTCCCGAGTGCTGGGATTACAGGCATGCGCCACCACTTAATTTCAAATCTTTAGCCATAACATCATGTTCCCACAGAAGCTGTAGTCAAAAGTATTTCCTCAGTATTTTTACAACTCCTTTAATCAAAATTCTTAAAGTTCCCTTTTTCCTTGATCTATGTGCTACCTTCCAGTTACTGAGAAATAGAAATTATGTATAATTATAATAAGCAGGTAAATTCAGGAATTTTCATAAAGCCACATAACTACAATATGTAACACAAATATTTTTAAACAATAAGTAACTGAAAATATTCGTTATTTTTCTTAACTGTGTAAAAAAAATTCCTTAAGGGACTTGATCAGGACAAAACTTCTATAACACTGATGTTTGTTGAAATACCAAGGCTATCGCCTAAAAGAAAAATGAGCAAAATAGGAACAAGGACAAAGAATACAAAAGACTTTCATTTGAATAAACTGACCAAAACTTCTTTAAGAGAATCATCATATTCAAGAGTGGTGATGAACAATGAACTGGATTTCCCTGTAGCACTTCTGACTCGTTATACATATACCAAGCTAGTTCACTCAAATAATGTCTAACAAAATCATTGGCATCACAGATTTTGCCTAATGAAAACATGCTAGTTGATCAAACCCCAGCCCTCTTCTAGAAAAAAAAAACACAAAGGTTATTATCAAAAATTTACTTTCCAAATGTAACAAACCAAACAGTTTTATTGATTTAAGAAATTCACAACAGAATGCTTATACACTGTATTGTTTTAAATTGTATTCCACCTAATATGAAATAAAACATCCTTAGTAGGAAACTGATAGAAGATAACATTTATAGGTTCTGATCACACTAAAGGCATAGTCTATATATTTTCACACTTGTTCCAATCTCTTCCAGAGTAATTGTGACTAGTCTGAAGCCTCAAGCTGTTCGTAAGGTTTTTGTCTCTTGTTTACAAAGAAGATTTTAATGAGGATCTTTCATCCTACATTAGCATATATTCATATAATAGGGATTTGCTAATACTGCCAATTAATTTCTGAAATGGTATTTTTAAACAAATTTTACAATTTAATTGCTTCTTTCAACTTTATGTAAATAGTCTATATACCTGATTCAGTAATTTTTCTAATTACCACTAGAAATTATGAAAATATAATTTCATTTTATTAAATAAAGCTTAAAGTAAAATAAGTGATTATCAATAAATACTGAAGGTAACAATATGAAGAGACTGTTAAATTACTAAATGCTTAAAAATGTACACTCAAAATTTTTCTTTAAAATATCAACAATATAAAATCCTGTATTTTTCAAAATCATTTCTCCAAAAGAAACTAATATCATATAATTAAGTATAGGTGATAATATACTTGGTTATAAAAAATTTATGTCAAGAATATCTTAGTTAAAAACTTTAAAGAAATGGGCAAATTAATCATCCATATTGTAATTAAGTACAAGTAAACTAATAACATAGTTTACTATGATATGAAAAAAACTTTTTGGGAGCTTCCACATAAAATCTGTTAACAGAAATAACATACTGAAATTATTTTTAACTTATTTACCTTACAAAAACTTTGAGTACATTTTAATATTTAATAACCCCTAGAAATAGCTTGCTTAAAGTTAGGGGTAAGCTCTTATGGAGCAGTTTCATACAGGGAATTACAAACATCAGACACCTGAACTTTTACATTCTTCACTGCACTGAGTTGAGTTCCACACAACACTTTACAAATATTGTTATCTAGTTAGAGCCAAAGCATTCATTGACAGATGACAATTTTAAAAGATATAAATTATTTCATGTCTTTAGATTCATTCCTTTTATCTCTATGATTTAAAAAAATTTTTCATAACTATCTTTAGATACAGGACTTATTTGTAACTTTTCAGTAGTTTACTTCCTTAACCATTGTTCATAAAGTGCCTATTTTTCCCACATTACAAAAAGCATATCTATTTAGATAATAATATAATGTATAATTTTAATATATAAGCTATATGCAATATTTCTACAACTACACAATCATCTTACTAAATCTCACTTTTAAATCAAAAGTTTCCAATTAAATGAAAAATATTTAGGAGGTGCTACTAACTAAAAAACATACTAGGTTAGATTTAAAAATCACTCACATTCATAACATCATTTCAACTCTAAAATAGAAATCTTAAGCACAAAATTCTTCATATAAAAGTATCCAAATAACAATAAAAGATGCACTTTAAACACCATGTATAAAAGATCCTTTGAGAATTTATAGAATCGTAAGATTTTAAAAATACAAGACTAAAAATGATACAATTTAGGGAAGGAAAGGATGCTGACTTTTACTTAATATTTCCCTTCAGACAAAGATATCTGCAACTTTAAACTTTTTATGTGAATTACAATGTAAAACTAAATTTTCAGAAGAAAACCTATCTTTTATGTGAAGACTTCTGTAGCAAGCAGTCTAATGTCAGGTCCCCAAAGATGATGTCTAAGTGCAGTGCCACTCTCAGTAATCATCCCTTCTGGAAGCTGTGAAATAAAAAGCACCTGAAGACAACAGGAGGTTACCCTTAGGCTGGAGCTCACCAGTCTCACAGGCAGTGATGGAGGCCTGAACTAAGGCAGAGACAATGAAGACAAGATTTTATCCTTTTTTTTTCTCAATGACTGCTCAGCTGAAGGAAACAAATCACAAAGCACCATATTTTGTATAGATAACAGGATAAACAAAGTTTTTCATGATGTATATGAGGATTATTGTATATAGTACTGAATTTACATACATTAGTTTGTAAAATCTAGTAATAAAGTGTAGGTCTCTTGCAAAGTCTCTATCAATGATCCCAGCAATCTACTGGAAAGAATCCAGTCCAACTTTACATAATCTAAAGTCAAGCATAGACAATTCAAAACTGGATAAAAAAGTTAAGTTCAATTAAGTTGGATAAAAAAGTATCAAGGAGTCATCTCCAGCAAACAACCTAATCCAAAAGAAAGAATTATGTGGATTATTTCCCAAAAATTTTATAAAACTTGTATTTCAAATGGAAAAATGCAGAAACAAGCACTTTTAACAAAAACATACATTGAAACAGTGGCTTCTCTCTTGAGCTCACATCTTCAAAACTGTGTCATCAGTTTCCAAAAGCAAATTCCTGTAGCTGAGAAATTACCAAATCATGTTGTTACTTTACTGTGCAAGAAAAGATTCATTTGTAAATATCACATTGTTTTTAATTTCCAAAGTACGATGAAAATCACATATATTCCTGTCTTCACAGTACAACATTAAGTGGCTACTCTTCACTGTATTTAATGTAATTATATACTAGGTACAGTTTGATGGGATGTTTTATATCTATTAGCTGACTTAATAAATTAAAATAATCTTTTCATATACTTGCTACTCATCCAGAGGCTCATAAATATCATCCATGCATTCACTAAACATTTTCAAAGTATTTACCACATGCCTAGCACTGTGGTTGGTAAGCTTTCTGCTCTGTGGGAGTTAAGTAAAGTTTCTAAAATAGTAATTAAAAAGTACTAACATCTGAGTAGCATACCTACTCTGAACAGAAGAGCAGGTGGAATGCTGTGGAAACACGTAATGTGAACTCCAAACATATTCAAGAAGGAATTCCCATGTGAAGTACTTTTATCTATACTACGTGGCTATACTATGCTGGCTAAAGAGGACAAATGGAATTCTGGACAAAGAAGCACAGGAGGAAAATGTCTAGAGAATATTACAGAGAATAACTCAGAATGCCTATAACATTTGTTTTTAGGGTGTGTGTGTGTGTGTGTGTGTGTAATGGACATGAAGTTGAAGAAGAAAGTCATGTACCAAGTATGACCTGTAGGCAGTGTTAAAATGTTTAGGCTTTTGGCCAAACACAGTGGTACACACTTACAATCCCAGCATTCTGTGAGACTGGGCAGATATTGGTCAATGGAAAAGCCTTAGGTTCATTCCTCCCCTAAATACAAAGTTTAGGCATTCTCCTAA